AAAAGAAGAAAGTTAAAAGAGGGAAAGAAGGAAAGAGAGAAAGAGAAAGGAAAAAGAAGAGAGAGACAAAGAAAGGATGGGAGAAAGAAGGAAGGAAGAAAGGGAGGGAGGAAGAAAGAAGAAAGGAAGGAAGAAATGAAGGAAAGAAAGAAGAAAGGAAGGAAGGAAGGAAGAAAAGGAAGAAAGAAGGAAGAGAGGAAGGAAGGGAAGGAGGGAGGAAGAAAGAAAGGAAGAAAGGAAGGAAGGAAAGAAAGAAGGAAGGAAAGAAGAAAGGAAGAAAGAAGGAAAGCAAATACTAAGGAAATGTCTTCCCTCTTGCATTCTGTTATTTCAACCTGGTGTTTTTCTTAGGCTCTGTCTCAGAGGCACTCAATGCCCTGCCTAGACATGATCTCATTCATTCTCATCACATCCCTGGGAGGCAGGGAGGAGATTGGGATCATCATCCCCACTTTACAGACAGGAATACCTGAGGCCCAAACACACATAAGGCAAGTTAGTGTGGAATAGGTTTGGAATTCAGGCGTCCTGACTCACCGCCCCAGGACTCCCTACTCTTGGCTATTGGGTCGACCCTGAGAGTCTTGGAAGAGTCTGACTGGGGAAGAGCAGGTGGTGAGCTCCATGGTGGGCAATCCATTAATTAATGAATCCATCACTGTGAACACCTACTGTGTGCGTAGGCCTATGGATGTGACAAGAGAATAGAAGAGGGTCTCTGTTGTGAGGGTGCTCCAAAATGCAAGTGCAGACAGGGAGAGTCTGGGCAAAGGGCCAAGGGAAGAAAGGCAAGTGTGAACATGGGAATCCTTACAGGCAGAAGCAGCCTTTGGCGGTCACTGGACCGGGAAAGATGGATCAGAAGCTTGAAGGTAAGGAGTGGGGCACACAAAAAAGAGAATGAGAAGGGTGTGGCAGGCATAGACTTTGCCCTGGGCACTGAGTGGACCCATAAAGAAACCCCCAAAAGAAATCCCCTAAAATGTGGATGCAGATAAGGAAGACTAGGAACTTCAAGGAACACATTTACCCTGGTGGGGTTGTCTCCTGGTACCCTCCCCTTCAGCTTCACTTAGCCATCATTCAATTCAACTCAATTCAATTAAGCAAAGATTTATAACCTCTCTATCCTTCAAGTCCCAGCTCTGGAAAGCCAGACATCTATTTTATCTTTCCTTACAATGCTCTACATAACAACAGATTAATTTTTTTTCAGTGAATGAATGAGTGAGTGAACAAATGAGTGAGTGATGGGTAAGTATGGCAAATTGATGAGTAATGAATGAATGAATGAGTGATTAAATAGGTGAGTGAACATGTGAATGAGGAAATGCATTAATGAGTAAATAAATGAGTGAGAAAGAGTTGTCCTCAATGAGTTTTTTTCACCAGGCCCAGAAGAGCTACTCCCAGAGAACTAAAATAACTTGTAATGTAAGTGCTAAGCTGTGGCTGATCATCTTTGAAAATTTTTGGAGAATGGCAAAGGTGCCACAGAGAGACATATATAATAAACTTAAGTGGATACAAAGCTGGTGGAATGACTGTACTCCATCTGCACTGATGTCTGAAGTTTAATGGCTACAGACAGGGGTGTCCTAGTTAGTGCTAAAAACAGCTTTTTAGGGGAAAAAAAAGAAAGCCTGTGGGATACACTTTTCGTTTTAATCTGCATTATTAACATTTTCTCCATAACTTTCTTAAATCTGGACAATCAAGAAAATAAGAAATCAAGTCCTGCTTTGTAGCATGGGCTTAGTCAGTATGAGCTGGCTCCAGGACACCTCTGACTTCAGGGATTTGTCACATCCACAATTCAGATCAAGAAACATTTATAAAGCCCCTACTTTGTGTTAAGTACAAAGACAAAAATGATCTTAAGTCCCTAACCTTAAGGAGCTTATATCCTACTGTGGAGAAATAATATATATGTGTGTGTGTGTGTGTGTGTGTGTATACACACACATATGTATGTATGTATGTATGTATGTATGTATGTATGTATATATATATATAAGTGTGAAAAATATACAGTAAGCACAAAGTCAGTAAGTCAATAATTACTTAATAACAGCATTTATACATAACACTTTAGGGTTTGCAAAGTGCTTTACAATTGTTATCTTACTTGATCCTCACAACAACCCAGGAAGGTAGGTGCTATTATCATTTCTATTTTACAGATGAGGAAACTGAGGCAGACAGAGGTTAAGTGACTTGTTGGATCACACAACTGGATTTGAACTCAGTCTTCCTGACTCCAGATCCAGTGCTCTATCTACTGTGTCACCTAGCCCAGCCAGAAATTTGCCCAGCACTGTACTAAAATTAAAAATTATTAAATACTAAAAAAGAAGAGGCAAGCCTTTCCCTCAAGGAGCATACATTCTAATGGGAGAGAGTAAATGTAAATAACTAGGCACATAGCATAGAAAGAGAGTACATGAAGGTAATCTGAAAGGAGAAGGCATTCACTGCTGAGGGTCACGGGGAAGGTCTGCTGGAGAAAGCGGAATTTGAGCTGAAGAGTATTCCAGGCATGGAGGCAGTGGGTGCAAAGACATAGACATGGGAGATGAGCATGAGCGTCTTATTCAAGGAACTAACTATAAGGAGGCCAGTGTACCTAGATCATAGTATGCATGGAGGGGAGTAGGGCGCAAGAAGGCTGGGAAGGTAGCAAGGGGCCAAGTTGTAAGAAGCTTCCAATACCAGAGGATTTTATATTTGATCCTGGAGGTAATAGGGAGCCACTGCAGCTCTCTGAACAAAGGGGTGCCATGGTTACCTGTGCTTTATGAAAATAATTTGGGCAGCTGAGTGAAGGATGGATTGGACTGGGGAGAGAGACCTGAGGCAGGAAACCACTACCAGGAGAGAGGTGATGAGGGTCTGGATGGCTGCGTAAGTGGAGAGAAGGGGATGTATTAGACAGAAATTGAGAAGGTAGAAATGACAAGACTTGGCAATGAAGTGGATATATGAGGTGAGTGAAAGTTGAGGAAGCAGGGATACACTGAGGTTTAAGAGCCTGAGTGACTGGGAGAATGGTGGTGTGTCTCTCCCCCATCCCCATGAATGAATAAAGGAGTAGTGCACTTATTAAGCCCTTACTATGTACAAAGAACTGTGCTAATGGCTGAAAATAGAATAGTATTAAGAGCAGTAGGGAAGTCTGGAAGAGGGAGGTTTGGGGGAAAGAAAAGTAAGAGTTTGAGATGCCCAGAGGCATCACAACAACCCTTGGAGGTCGGTGTGCTTAAGATCCCCATATTACAGATGACAGAGAAGTCAAATGAGGTGGGCATTTGGAGGCCGGTAGAGATTTGGAGGGTAGCAAACAGCATAAAGTTGAACTGGTTTAATTAAAGTGTAAACACTGGGAAAGAAAGCAAATAGGGCCACAGGACTGGCTGAGGAAATGAGAAAGCTGGCAGTGTAGACTAAGGTGAGGAAGAGCATATTTAAAAGGGATGAAACTTGGGGATGTGTGGAAAGAGAGGTTTGAGTCAAACAGGGGGATTTCAGAATTCTGGCATAACAAACATTCATGGATTGTTATGGGATCAACACTATGCCCAGACTTTGGCCTTGTGCTATTTTCAGATTTTTATCAATGACTTGGATGAAGGTATAACTGGTTTGCTTATCAGATTTGTAAATGACATAAAGATGGGAGGGAGAGTGGTTGGGTGACAAGAACCAGAAGCCTATTTAGGGCATTTGGACTAGAGCTATGATTTCATTGATAGAGTAACTCTCATACGAGGAAACTCCCTATGTCAAAGAAAGTCAGCACTTTAGCTCATAGTCTTAGAGAGCTGGCAAGAGCACCTAGAGGTTAAATGACTTGTCCTAGTTCCCTTAGCCAACATGTGGCTAATAATAATAATAATAATTAGCATTTATATAGCAATTTAAGGTTTGCAAGGTGCTTTACAAATATTATCTCATTTGATCCTCATAATCCTGAGAGGTAGGTGCTATATTACCTCCATTTTACAGATGAGGAAACTGAGGCAAGCAGAAGTTAAGTGGCTTGCCTAGGGTCACCCTCTGGGTATCAGCTGGACTGGAATAACAATAACTGTAATAATAATACTTTAAAATTCACAAAGTGCTTTACAAAAATTATCTCATTTGATCCTCACAATAACCCTGGGAGGTAGGTGCTCTTATTATCCCCATATTACAGATGATAGAGAAGTTAAATGACTTGCCCAGGGTCACACAGCTAGTAATCGAGGTGAGGTTTTAACTCTGGTCTTCTGACTCCAGGAGCAATGTTTTAGCCACGCCAAAGGTGGGTCTATAACACAACACTAAATGTACCTGAACTAGTTTAAAACTAAATGGGGAAATATTTAACAAAATGATAAAATACAATGACATAGATAATGTTAATATATAGTTTTCTAAGTCAACATGCAGCAACTGGCAGGCATCTTTAGGTATGGTTAAATGGCCCCTGTTTCTATTCGAGTTTGACTCCACTGCCCTTCAGAGCCACCTAGCTGACCCTGGCTCTGAGGCCATCTCTCCACTGGCCCTACACTACTACTGCTATTCAGTGATAAATAAAGATACATGTAAATCCAAATGTAGGATTTTTTAAAAAAGGGCAATGGGGCGCAGTGGTCACAAACAGTTCATGTAAGGAAAAGATCTGACGATTCCGGTGGTCTGCAAGGTCAATGTTAGTCCAAAGAGCAAGCTGCCTCCAGCAATGTGAGCTGAGGGCCTTTCCTGACAAGCATTGGCGTCCAAGCCCAGGGAGGTGCTCGCCTGTCCTGTACACTCTGCACCCTTGGAGCACGCCTGGAGCCCTGTGTGCAGTAATTTTGGAAAGACAAAGAGACAAGTAGTTTGTACATGTCAAAATCCAAAGGACAGCCAGGATACCGAGAAGAGCATCCAAACTGCAGGCGGGGGAAGGAATTGAGGATGCTTAGCCTGGATAAAGGATTGAAGGTGTGAGTTGCTTTTTTTTTTTTGCAAGTTGTCTTCCAGCATCTGAAAGGTTGACATGTAGAAACGGGACTGACCCAGTTATGCTTGGCCCCAAGGGGCCAAGAAGGATGGATGCACGGGGGTGGGGGGCAGTTTCTGGGGTGTCCAAAGAGGGAATGCATGCGTGGCTGCCTCGGGCTGGGGCGCAGGGGGAGGAGGCGAAGGAGAAAGCCGGAATGCGGTGGGCAAAAGTCAGTAGGAGGGGTGTTCTGGTAGGACAGTCGCTGTCACCACTTTTCTGTGACGTCACTCCGAAGCCGTCCTGCGCCTCTGTGGGTGGGTGACATCTCCCACGATCCCCAGGGGGCGGTGACGTCAGCACGCCGCCGGAGGGAGAAGCGAAGGGGCCCCGCAAGCAGGGCGGAAGTCTAAGCGGTCACTCCGCGGACTCGGCTCCTTTAAGAGCAGTCTCCACCTCCTTGTTCTAAGGGACTCCGGAAGGCCAATGGCAGGACCGGGAAGATGTGACGTCATAACAGCGGGGGCGGGGAGGGCATGCCTGGGTCTCTCAAGAGAGGCGGGGCTGGACCAGGCCTTGATTTCCCCTCCCCCATCTAACTCCTCCCTCGTCCTGCCGGGCCTGGGCCTTCTCGAGAGCCGACTCTGACCTTGACCCTGATCCCGACCTTGGCCTCTCTGCGCCCTTAGCCCCCAGCTCCAGTCCTGTCTCGCGTGTCCCCCGAGGTCCGTTTCCTTTTAACCCCAATTTTCCATCTTTGTACCCGGGGCTCCACCTGCCCCTCTGGTCCAGATTCCCTGCTCCACCCCACCCACTCCCCCCACGTGATCCAGTGTGGTCCCCACCCTCTGCGTCCCAGCCTCTCCCTCTTGTCTCCATCCCTGTATCTTTCTCGCCCCCACCCTCCACCCCCAGCCCGTGCCAATGGCATCCTCGGGCCTGGCAGGGGATCTGAGGGCCGTGCTGGGGGGCCAGGGGCTGCCAGTGCTGGACTATGACTCTGTACCCCCAAAGGTCTCACCTGCGCCTGTGCAGCTCAGGAAGAATGTCTCCTATATCGTGCTGGCTGTCTTCTTCAACGACCAGGTGAGAGACAGCCAGGACCCTGACTCTAAAGTCCTTTGGGACCCCAGACACCCCAGGATAGAGGACCCTAGAGCCCGGACCCATTTAATCCGTGGGCTTGGGAAAGAGAGACGCAGAAAAGACCCCTTTATTGGCAAGGTGGTTCTCGGAGAATCAGACGCCGTTTTCATTTCAATTCAAACCAGCATTTTATTAAGTGCCTAGTAGGAGTGACATCCAAAGAAGTCTAATATTCACCCAAAACATTTATTGAATATCTGCTAGGTACAACGCACTGTGTGCTAGCTGCCACAGGGGATCGAGCATGGAGAATTCCATTCAACATTTATTTATTTATTAAACACTTACTGTGGGCTAAGGAGACAGAGATGAGAAACAAGATACAGTCCTTACCCACAAACGAGCTCACAAGCCAGCACTTGCAAGTTAGAGTGTGATAAACGTGTAGGAAAGATCCAGACAGAATATTTAGAAAAAGCTTCATGACTGTGGCTCCTGAGCTGGGCCTTGAATAAAGGGTGAAACCTTAGCAATTGTCCAGCTGTTCAGTAAGGATTTATTAGGCACCTACTATGTGCTACATGCAGAGACAAAAAGATAAAACAATCCCTGCCCTCAAGGGGTTTATATTCTATTGGAGGTGGGGAATAAATGCTTATTGAATAGACATGGGGGGAGGAGAGCCAGAACAGGCATTTATTAAACATCTACTATGTACCACATGCTGGGGTTATCCAAAGACAGAACAGCCCCTGCCTTCGAGGGGCTCACATTCTATTGGGGCAAATAAATATTTATTGAACTGATGTGGGGGGAAGAGAACTGGCATTTTTAAAACCCCTGCTATGTGCCACGCACTTTACAAATATCATCTTGTTTGATCCCCACAACAACCCTGGGAGGTAAATACCATTATTATCCTCATTTTACAGTTGAGGATACTGAGGTAGATAGAGGTTAAGTGACTTGCCTAAGGTCACACATAGTAAGTCTCAGAGGTCAAATTTGAACTCAGGTCTTCCTGACTCTGGGCCTGGTGATCTATTCATTTTACCACTTAGCTGCCTGGAGGAGAGGAGGAATAATTAAAGATTACTGAGGTTTACAACCTTGTGTGGCTGGGAGAACGATAGTATCACTAACAGAAATAGAGAAATCTGGAAGAAGGGCAGGTTTTGGAGGCAAGATGATGAGTTTAGTTTGGGACACACTGACTTTGAAGTCCTGACGGGACATCTTGATATGGGAGGTATCCAGCAGGCAGTTAGAAGCCCTGGATTGGCGTGCATGGGAGGAGTCAAATCTGGAGATAAGGATTGGGGAGTTATCTGCCTTGGGGTGAAAATGGAAGCCATGGAAGTTGATGAAATCATCTAGGGAAAGTTTGTAGAAAGACAGAGAGGCAGATACCCAGAGAAACAGAGAGGGAAGGAGAGAGAGAGAGATACTAAGAGACAGATATCAAGAGAGAGAGACAAGGAGGGAGAGAAGAGAGAGAAAGAGAGACAGGTAGATACTGAGAGAGACAAAGAGGGAAAGAGAGAGAAAGAGAGACAGATACTGAGAAAAAGAGGAAGACAAAAAGAGGCAGAAGGCAGATACTGACAGAAAGGCACAGGGGAGGAGAGAAAGAGAGAGAAGAGATAGAGAGAGAAAGAGGCAGATACAGAAAAAGAGGGAGAGAAAAAAGGAGAGAGAGAGAGAGGCAGATACTGAGACAGAGGCAGATATTAAGAGACAGATATTGAGACAGAGAGAACAGAGTCAGTTACTGAGAGACAGACAGATACTGAGAAAAAAGAGAAGTGAGGAGCCTCCCCCCACCACTACCACCCTGGAGCCATCAGAGAGAGATTAGAAAGTGAGTGGTCAAAAGGCAAGTTTAGAAGCAAGTAACTGTTCTTTCTAAAGAGGAAAAAGAATAGTTTGAGGGCATTGCAGAATTAGAAGGGTGTTTGTTTGTTTTTAAGTTAGGGGAAACCTGAATGTGTTTGTAAGTAAAGGAAAGGTGTCAGTAAAGAGGAAGATACCAAAGATGGGAGAGTATACATTTGATGCAGGTCCCAAAGAAGGCGGGAGGGGATAGACTCAAGGGCACAAGTGGCCAGAAAGGGAAGCCACTTCTTCCTCAGAGACCAGAGGAAAAGAGATGGCTACGGGTATTGCCACAGACTTTGAGGTGTGGAGGAGGAGAATTGAGGGAAGTTTTGGGCAGATGACTTCACCTCCTCCTTGACTGAGAAGATTGAAGCCAACTACTGACAGTAAGTGGGGTGGAGCGGAATTGGGGATTTGAAGAGAAAGGAGGTTTGGCATAGCTGGGGAGGAGAATGGGATTTGGAATCAATAGATGTAAGTAGAATAATTGCCATGCATCAAGGGAGGGCCCAGCTGAGGGTTATTAGCATATATTTCTAGGACCCCATCAGGGCATTTTCATCACTTTATTCTACTTTTTTAAGGCAGTTCAGGAATAAGAGCAGAGAAGGAAGCTCATCCTCATCTAGGATTTTAAATTAGCAGGGCAAGAATGATAGAAAGTCAAAGGACGAGGCATTCAAGAATAAAGGAGAGTGGAACTTTGAAAGAGTTGACCAGGTGATCAAGACTGGGCAGGGAGACAAGTCAGAAGAGGATGTGGCTGACAGAGGAAGGGATCAGTTGACCAGAGGTCATGAAGAGGAGACCTGAAGGAGTGGGAGTGATTTATGTCAGAGACAGGGAATTTCATAGTTTATGATCTCAAAGGTGAAGTAGTTTCAAGTAATGGCAAGGTCTAAAATTTGACCGCCCAAGTGAGAGGCTGTGGTAGAGAGGGGACAGAGGTCATTGGAGCTGAGGCAGAGGAGAATTTGTGAGGCCAAAGGTGTTAAAATAATGAGGATGTGACAGCTGCCATTTGAATAGCATTTTGAGGTTTGCCCTTTAAGGTTTTTTTTTCTTTTTGGTGAGGCAATTGGGGTTAAGTGACTTGTCCAGGGTCACACAGCTAGTAAGTATCAAGTGTCTGAGGCTGGATTTGAACTCAGGTCCTCCTGACTCCAAGGCCAGAGCTCTGTCCACTGTGCCACCTAGCTGCCCCCCTTTAAGGTTTAAAGTCAGTCGACAAGCAATTATTAAGCACCTATGATGTGCCAGGTACTGTGGTAAGCATTGGGGATACAAAGAAAGACAAAAATTCAGCCCCTTGCTCCCAGGGAGCCCGCTGCCTAATGGAAGAGTCAACATACAAACAGCTATGTACAGACAGACAGGATATGCACAGACAGGATAAATTAGAGAAGATCACCAGAGGGAAGGCAGAGTAGACTTGTACATACATATCATTTTATCTTCACTGCTCTGTGAGGTAGGATCCTCAAAACAAGTCTGAAATGTTTCTTAATAGCTTGAAATCTAGAAGGGAGGGGAGAACAGATACACATTGGGAATAAGGCACCAGCCTGGCGTCTGGTGCCCCCAAAGCCCTAGATAAGGCTCTGAAATCCTAGTAACTGTAGATCTTTTTTCCAGAGGGAACTTGTTGAAATGAAGGGAAGTCAGAATGTTTCCAACACCATGGAAGAGCAGGGACAACCTGGCAGATAGTGCTCTGGGTGTTTCCTTGCCTGCTACATTCATCCCAGCTCTAGTATTTGAGGCATCTGTTAAGTTCCTGGATAGAAGGTCTTGGTAGGGTCCTTTTTGAAGCTAGTGCCCTGCCTGAAAATTGATCCTGGGGGGAATGGATGACAGTTGGGATGGGAGGTCCTCTTTCTTTCCCTAGGATGAAGTGTTAATGATCCAGGAAGCCAAAAGAGAGTGCTATGGGTCTTGGTATCTACCTGCTGGGAGAATGGAGCCTGGGGAAACCATTCTGGAGGCACTGAGACGAGAGGTGAAGGAGGAGGCGGGCCTGGAGTGCGAACCATTGACGCTGCTGGCCGTGGAGGAGCGAGGTCCCCGCTGGATCCGCTTAGCCTTCCTTGCCCGCTCCACAGGTACTCCTTCACAACATGGTGGGCGCTGGATGGGGAGCACCTCACTTCCTTCTTGTTTCCTCAGACCCCCTAGACTGACAGACTGGTATAAATCTTTCTGCCAAAGTGGCATCTTTTTCCTTGTACCTCTGATGCTTCCTTCTCCCTTCTGACTTTCAGGTGGGATCCTCAAGACTTCTGAGGAGGCAGATAAGGAGTCCCTGCAAGCTTGCTGGTACCCTCATGCCTCCTTGCCCACTCCGCTTCGTTCCCATGACATCCTGCCCCTCATAAAACTGGGTTCCCACTATTACCAACAAGCTAGACACCCTCCTACTCTACCCCAAGAGCTTCCCTGCAAGCTTATCTGCCAGCGACTTATAGCCGCCTTTACCAGTGCCAAGAATATATGGGTGTTGGCGGGTAAAGAAGGCAGTCTCCATTTGCCCATCACAGCCTGTGGACTCACCCCATCAGAGCAGAATAGCAGCATTGTGGTGTCAGTGTTTCGACTCCTACAACAGTGCTTGACACTGTCCCAGTTGACAGTGAAGACCCAGGGGGTACTGGGGCTGCAGCATCTGGGCAAGAACCAGGCTGATGGGATCTGCCTGAATGTGCTGGTAACGGTGGCCTATAAAAACCCAGGTGTCCTCAACAAGCCACCTGAGATTCAAGGAATCAACTTCTGCTGGTGGCAGGTGGAAGAGGAAGATGTGCAAAGCCACCTCCTAAAGAGACTTCAAGAAGTGTCTGTTGTCCCAATCCACAGTTAACAGGGCTGCTGGGAAATGAGCACACATATAGGCACTGACGTCACACTGCCGTGGTTTTGAATCTTCTAGGATGCCTGGGAATTGAGCCCACAGAGATCTTCATGGGTATAAATAGGGGCCTCCGGGTTCTCAGGTCACCAGCCTTCTTCCACTCCAGTGTCACTTTTTGCTTATCAAGAAGGACAATGACTGAACTTGGGCAGAGAGTTCAGAGCCCAAAGACTGGTCACCTAAGGCAAATTGAAAGCCTATTCATCTTAGCGCCTGAGACTATTAGAACAGCGTGGCTGCAGATGAAATCATGCCTACTTATCTCTAGTGGCCACCCTGCCAATGGTAACATCTTTATCTTCTTCAACACTGCTGAAGCCTGTGTGGGCCAGTAGAAGGGTACGATGTTGGCCCCTCCATTGCTGCTGTGTGCCCCCTTCCTGAGCAGTTGGGTGTCTAACCATGTCATCCCCCTGCTCAAAAATAGTTCTATAAAACATAAACTTCTGTATCTGGCATCCAAAGCCTTCTACAATCTGATTTGTACTTATGCTTCTAGCCTTATTTCCTACTTTTTCCCCTTCATAAAGTCTACATTCCAGCCATACTGGATACTAGCTGTTCTAGAACTCATCTTCCGCCTTTGTGTATTTACATGAGTTTTCCTCTGTGCTTGGAATGCACTTCCTCATCTCCAGGTCTCAGGATCCTTGACTGCTTCCTGGATAAGCTTGGGTGCCATCTTCTCTGTGAAGCAGTCACTGACCCCCCAGTTAATTCTTTCTCTCAGTTTACTTTGTGCTATGCTTCTTTATCTGTCTATCCCCACAGTAGAACGTAAGCTCCTTGAGGGCAGGTACTGTCTTTTCCCTTTATATTCCTAGCACTTAGTATATAAGTGCTTAATAAATGTTCAATCAAATTCCCTTTGACATCTGCCTGGGTGACTGAAACAAAAGCAAGAGGAGTGTTTTAGTTGAACTGTCCAAAGGGTTCTTCTCCCTGATCTTAGAAGTCTGGGTGAAAGCTGGCCTTCATGAGCTGACCTGCTTGGGTGGTCTAGGGATCTCCAGTCACAGGAAGAGAAGACATGGGGCTGTAACCCTTGGTGGGGGTCTTCCTTCAGTCTCACCCACTTGAGGAGGAAATGTCTCAGAGATGAAAGGGGCATATAAAATAAACAGAAACTACCCCCAGTGAGGGTGAGATGCTTTCTGCCCTTGTGGCCATGCTCAGTGCTGTAGCAGGCAGGCAGTTTTCGCTGGGATTTCTAGTTGGAGGGCTGCAAAGTACAGAAGAGGATGGAGCCATAACGTTTGTACAACCACACTGTTTTATTGCTGTGCTGCCTCACGGAGGGCACCATGCATAGGCCAAAGTGCATAGAAGTTGGGAGCTCAATTCCCAGACCTCCCATTGTGTCCCCAAAGCTGAACTAAAGGTAGTCCGTGTCCTCTCCAGCAGCTAAGATCGGCCACCACACGCCCACCCTGAGAAGCAGTAGCCAGCTGATAGTCCTCCCAGCTTGAAGTGGGGAATGGAGGGATTAGGGAGGTCAATGGGTTTCCTCCCCTTGCAGTTACCCCCTTGGCAACCCAAGTCTGATCTGCAGAGAAAGGCAGCCAGGAAAAGGGAAAAGGGGCTTTGGGCTGCTGCTGCTCCCTGCTTGGGAGGGAAGCCAACAACTGTAGTCCTGTGAGGTAATGCCTAGCACCACCTACTGCAGGTCGAAACAGATCCAGGGTGAGCGGGGTGGCAACCCCAGCAGCAGAGAACACACGAGGAGCAGGGCACGGGCTTTGGCTGCTTTTCCTCCAGCCCCTTCCCGGCCAGGTCTGCAGGTGGGCCGATGAACACTAGCCTTGTTCATTCAGACTTTGCTGAGGCCTGATGTTCCCGAGATGAGTACTCTTTCAGAGCCAGGGAGTTGGGCGGGCTGCAAAGGGCACGGCCCTTCCTGGATCCTAGCGCCTCACCCCAGGTGTCAGGGACCTGCCGAGACGGGTTCAGAGGGCGCCAGAGAAACCAGCCACAGGCTGGCTCTTTGCTCTTCTCCTCAGGCCCTTTCCCACCCTGGCTGCACTCACATCAAGGATCTCATTAGCAGCTGCCCCCGCCTGGGTGCGGAACATACCTTGGGTGCTTGCCATGCTGCAGTTGGGAATTTTGCAACTGCGTGAAGGAGGGGCAGAGAAGGAAGAGGGGGCCTCCCCAAGTTCTCCCTTCACTGCCCACATCCCCTTGGGTCAAGCTTGGGTGGGCGGATAGGGTCTAAGTCTCAGCTTAGTATGAAAATAGGTTCTACACCCCGCCCCCCCCCAAGACTGAAGAGCCTTAGAGCCAACTGCTATCTTCTGCCTGTCCCTTAACAGGGATGACCAGAAAGGGAGAAGGGAAGTAGTGGGGACAAAAAAAACCAAAGGGTTGGTAGGTACTGGGCGTCTGCCCCACTTCTCTCTCTCTGAACGATGTCTGTCCAGGGAAGAACTGTAGCCTCCTCTCCTGCTTCCTTGGCACCCTTCGAGAGCCCCGCTTTGGAAGATATGGTCTACAAGCCAGGAGCTGAGTGCTAATGGCCTTGGAAAAGCAGGCGCCATTGCCGAGGTCTGAGGAGGCAGTCAGGCCTCCCCCCACTCCAGGGAGAACAGTGCTAGGCGTGCCAAGGGAAGAGGCTGCCTTGAGGCAAAGGTGTAGACATGGAGTCCCCCCCAACCCCCATGGTTCTGGCTCAGACATGTCCTTGTGGGGGTGAGGGCAGGTTCAGGTGAGGACTGTTAGGGGGGAATTTAACAAAGGCAATAGCGGCCAGCTCCTTGCAGAACTCTTCGAGCACTACCACCCCCTGCAGGAGGGTCTGATGGTCCATTCTACAGAAAAAAAGCAAAGAAAAAAAGCTGCCCAGCTGCCCAGGGGCTGGTGTTTCCCCTGGTATACTTTCCCCGATACCTACAGGGCACAGCAGAGAAACCTGCCAGAGGCAAACAGCAGGGCCTTCCCCAGCAGCGCCACCCCCCACCTCCTGTCTTCCAGGACATCTCCCAAAGCATCTGCGTCACCTGAACAGGTACTTACTGCTCTCCAGGGACCTGCCCAGTCAACTGCTTCCTAACCAGGAGTAGCTTGCTTGAGAACTGGGGTACTCGCTGGATTCTCTGCATCAAGTCTCCAATTACCTTGAGAAAGGAGAAGAGATGAGCAGAGGCTGGGATGGGGGGGAGGGGGAGATACAGTAGTGGGATCTGGAACTCCTCCTGTGGCCTTTCCTTCAGGTGCCAGTCATGGGCCACTGTGGGGGTGGCGAAGGAAAAGGAAGGAGCCCATGCCTTGTCTGATCGTATGATACCATGTTGTGGACAGTGATCCAGCCTAGCGATTCCCTTCACTTCCCTTCCATCTCAGCTTGCCTCTTGGTTCTTTGGTATCCTTACCCTCACAAGCACAGAGAAGAGACTCCTGCAGCCAGGGGCCAGGCTGATGTAGGGGTCCAAGAGGTACTCATGGACATGGGGGTGAGGGAATAGGGCTAGGCGGGACAGAACGGAAGTCACTTGCAGATTCAGACTGTATGGCTGTGGAGAACACGGTGAGTAATATTAATGAGGGAGGCTCTCTGAGCATTTTCCAACTTCCCCCCCAGCAGCGCTCCTGGATAGTGTGAACGTGTGTGTGGGGGGGGAGAGTGCACATGATAATGTATGACATGGATTCCTTGCAGCTGAAGGCTGAGAATGTTGGGGCATGAAGAACAAAAGCAAGTTAGGGCTTCCCTGCTGGGGAAGGTTAGGGTGGTACGTGGGTTTGGAAAGGGAAAGGAAGGAAGAAGGGAGGTAGTATTAGAACCCAAGACCCTGATAAGAAACCTGCTCCCTACAATCAGTCATCTTGCCGCTGCACCACTGTGGTTGGCACAAGCCTAGCTTTATCCTGGGCGCCTTCCTCGTGCTGTTTCCTCAATGCCTTACCCAGGCCAAGCTGTGGGATCGCCTAATTATACTTATCCTGCTACCTGATCCAAGATCCGTGCCATCCGATTAAAGAGCACTTGGAGGAAGCGACCCTCAAAGAATGGAGTCTCGGGCTCATGGGGATCAAGCGGGGTGAGAGCCAAAGGCCAACCCCAGGAGGCAACTCGGGAACAGCATTCCTGGAACTGAGAGAAGACAGAAATCTGGGTTTGGGCAGGTTCTGAGATATTGGGCCTGATGGAAATCAGGGACATTTTTCTTATACCTGTATACTTTAGAGAGGAAGTCAAATTCTCAACCCTTCTTTAGAAATGAAAGTATGCTGAATGGCGGGAGCTTATGTCTAGAGAGTGAGTGATGACACAGGAAGAAAATGATCCCCACATTAGGGAGGATGAAGATGGGAGACAAGGGAATCATCAAGGAAAACTCACCAACCCATAAGCATCATGGACATAGGTGTCATAACCAGTCTCTTCTAGAAAGGCTGCAGTCTTGGCTTCTTCTGGGACCAGGCAGAGGAAACTGAGAGATACAGGAAGGAGGCAGCCAGGTGTTAAGGAGCAGGGATGTTCCACCTGAGTCTGGGTCTTAGACCTCTGGGATCTTTTCTCCCTCCCTACTTGGTCTCCCATAGCTGGTGGCCAATGGCCCAGAGGCAGAAGATGAGGCCCCAAGTCATTCCTGGCTCCCAGCATGCTCACCCAATTGCCAGTTGAGAGGCCAGAGGCTAGGTTCCCTACGTCATGGAACATCAGTTCTCTGTGCCCTCCCCTTCTAGAAGAAGCCCCTGCCCCGAGTGAGGAGAAGCAAGCTCTAGCCTGGGACCCCTCACCTGTTGACGATCTCCGTCACTGCCGTCTTGCCATCCAGGTGGGGAGTGGGAGCTGGAAGTCTGCAGGCAGGCTGAAAGCCAGAGCTTGGGAACCCATCTGTGAAGTAAGGGTCTTCTTCCAGGTCTCTGCAGGGCCAAGGGTGACCGGTGAAGGGGTGCTGCAGGGAGTCTCTTCCCTTCCCATTCCCTTTTCTCCCTCCCATGGCCTGCCTGCCCCTTAGTCCCATGTCCTCACTCACAGAGTGTCCTCGTAGTTTTCTGGCTCAGGCAAGCCCCGGGCCAGGTACATGCGGCCCTCCAGGTTCCGAAGGAGCAGCATATGGATGATCTGCTTGTTTGGTTTCTGTAGCAGCTCTTCAAAGAGCCGCAGGGTGGCTATGCTAATCTGGGAAGTACAGAAGACACAGGAGAGGGTATGCAGTAGGAGTCAGGGTCTGCAGCTGTGGAGACTGTCCAGCTACAACGCTCACAAAGATGAGGCTTCTGTGCTTGCACCCTGAGCCAGGTGAGATGGCTACAGGGAGCGGATGGGAGACGATAAAGAACCCTGGACTAGGAGCCAGGATATCTGACAGTAACTTGCTGTGTGATCCTGGGCAAGCCAATTGATTGTGTCTTAGTTTCCCCTGGTAAAATGGTGTCAATGATATCTGCCCTGTCTACTTCATAGATGTAAAAAGGCTTTTCAAATTATAAGGCCTATAAAGAATTAAGTTAG